GGTTAAGTTCATTAGTAGGTCTATGATGAAGTTGAATAGGAATGAAGATAATGGGCATCCTTGACGGACGCCACTAGTCGTCACCACTTAACTTTAATGGTGTATACAAGTTAAGATGTAAGTGTACTGGCAGGAGAATGGAAATGAAACCGCGGCAAAACTGTACTGTTTTTACACCTGGCCTAATTTACCAGTTCCCTGATTTTCTAGCAGAACTTAAGCCAGGGAAAAGAAAGAAGGTTGGGCATGGGACTAGCGAAAATCACTCCGGTCGCTATGGAGACTCTCAAGCACAGTAAAAATATAAAAAACAAACTTATTCTTCTTTGGAGTCGGAGGGACAAAATGATGCGGGCTGATGAAATCCTTCGAGAAGTCAAACAGCCTATGTGTCTGCTTCTGATGAAAGCAAAATTAAGTAAGCATTGGGATGCAGAATGTTCTTAGAATGCACAAAGCTGGAAAGGCTGTCCAGGTTGTCAAAGAAAAATAAGAATATACAGCATATATGTGACTGTGCATCGTTGGTTCAATGGTAAGATGCTCACCAACCACACCTCATATGATCTAGGGTTCGAGTACTTGCCGGTATATACCTTCATCTATCTCCTTTAGCCTCCCCTTGTAAGTTCGATAACGAAGAAACTTTGAAACATTGAGGTTCGTAGAAGAACACCATTGCTGCTGGAACTTAAAAGGTCTTTCTTGAAGTCCTGTTAATCATTGCCGATGCAAAGGAATGAAAGTGTAACAAAACGCCACTACTATTTTCAACCTCGCCTAGTTTACTGGTCCACTAATTTTCTGGCCTGTCTTAAGCCCGGGAAAGAAAAGAAGGTTAAATATGGGCCTAGAGAAAATCAATACAATAGCTAAGGAAAACTCAAAGCACAAGCAGATTCTGAGAGACAAACTGACGGCGGCTGGTGAAAGTCTTCAGGAAGCCGCTCAGATGATGTGTCTTCCTTCAATGAAAGCGAAAATAAACTTTGGAGTGTGGAATGTGATAATCTGGGAAGGCTACCCAGGTTGTCAAATATGTGAGAATATACACCATAGAAGTGTTAGGAATCTGTGAGAACAGATGGAGTGAATGTGGACCCTCCAAACTGTCAGTTGGAGAGTCAGCAATCTACTCCAGTCACCCAGACACGAGAACTACAAGCACATTGAGGGAGTAGCTCTGGCCTAGACGTGATATCCGACTATCGACCAAAGGGCGTGTGTACTGCTCATCAGTCCGCTCCGTCCTCCTTTATGGCTATGAGACCTGGCCATTGAGAGTGGAAGACATGAAAAGATTAGCTGTCTTCGATCATAGGTGTCTGCGTTCTATCTCCCGTGTGTATTAAGTGGTATAATAAGGTGAGCAATATTGAGGTTAGGCATCGCTCGAGTGCTAGGTGAGGAGGGGAAATCAATAGACAAGACTGTGAAATTACATCGACTGAGATGGTTAGGACATGTGCTACGTATGCCTGGTCATCACCTTCATCGACCGACAAGCGATGTTAGCTAACATAGGGTCAAGCTGGAAAAGAGCTAGCGGCGGTCAAACGAAAACATGGCACCAATCAATGAAATCTACAACAGTTAGTCTAGGCCACGTAGGAAGGTGCAGACTTCCTCACTGGTTGGAGTCCTCGGGACGGTAAAAACCAGTGGTTGAATACAATTGGTGATATAGCTGGGTTAAAATCGTTCTCAATGGCTAACGCAGGTGCATCCACTCCTTGTGACTTATGATTTCCAATGAGACTGTTTTGTTCTTCGTTATTACTATTCCTTTGTCTCACACCTCTGTTTACTGTCTCTATTATGCATTTCTCCTCACTTTCTTCTCTTGCTTTGTGTACTACATGGAGTGTGGCGACTTGAACTTCTGCACATATGTGCAAAGTTCTATGTCGAAAACAGACAGACAGACAGACAGTAGCTGTCATGGTGTCACCAACAGTAGCTGAAGCCCCTATGCAGTGGACACCAATCTTCTCCTGAATGGATAATGGCAGCAAAACTGAACTCCAGCAAAAGGAAAGCTACAATATATGCAGCTAGCGAAAAGAATAACTGCAGAGTAAAGGACAAAACGGAAATATTGTGCCGCTGAAGCCGTACGTGCCAGTAAGTACTGTACAGCCAGATAAAGGAGAAGAAGTGTAGAATTAATATATGTGTAAAACTTGGGCATTGTGATAGCAAGTAATTCCATATTAGTTTGTTTATTAGATATATCACACAGTGAGATAGTATTATTTACTGGATGACGACGCCTTTCGAACAAAATCTATTGTTCATAATCATATCAATTGTAATCACATGACTTTGAAACTTGAGTTTTATAGTTTTCTTTGTTCTCTCCTATTTGTCGTCATTGGGGTAGTAGAATTTTCCAGATATCTGGGTGGACAGGTGTTGAATCATTCCTATTACATGTATTTGCAGTTGATTCGATAAACAAAGCTTCTGTTTTCAATCTCTTTCTATACTATGTGACATTAGATTTTACAACTGTCATCCTATCCCATCCTATTGTATGGTTGTGTGTAACTGCATGTAGTGCTATAGCTGAACTATTCCCTATATTTCTTGTCTTATTTGGATCAACCAATCTAGATTCTGCTAGATTTTTGTGTTCTGCTAGTCTGACTGCCCCTATTCTAATAATTTGACCTGTGTATTTGACCTGACAATCATTGCAGGCAGGGTGTTAGATAAACTAAATTGTTTTGTTTTAAGGGCTCTACAGGATCCTTTAACTGACAAAGCTTGTTTCTAATTGAGTTTGTGGGTTTGAATGCCGTTTTTATTCCTGCCTTGTTAAGAATTCTGCGTAAGGCTTCCGAGGTTCCTTCCTTGTATGGAATTACTACTGATGATTTCGATTCCTTATTATTGGTGTCGTCATTGATATTATTATTATTATCACTATTATTATTATCATTATTATTGTTATTATCACTATCACTACTATCATTACTTATTTTATTTTTTACATTTCCTTACATATTTCCTGACTAATTTATCCGAGGAATTACTAAGTTTCAAGGTTTCTCTTATATGTATCACTTCCTGTTTTAGGTTTTCCTTGGTACTACATAGTTTTTGTGCTCTTTCATTTAAACATTTCACCAATCCTATTTTTACTGACATAGGATGGGATGATCGGAAGTCTAAATATCTGTTTGAGTGTTTAGACTTCCGATCATCCCATCCTATGTCAGTAAAAATAGGATTGGTGAAATGTTTAAATGACAGAGCACAAAAACTATGTAGTACCAAGGAAAACCTAAAACAGGAAGTGATACATATAAGAGAAACCTTGAAACTTAGTAATTCCTCGGATAAATTAGTCAGGAAATATGTAGGGAAATGTAAAAAATAAAATAAATAATGATAGTAGCGATAGTATATGTGATAATAATGCGATAGTGATAATAATAATATTAATGACGACACCAACAATAAGGAATCTAAATCATCAGTAGTAATTCCATACAAGGAAGGAACTTCGGAAACCTTACGCGGAATTCTTAACAAGGCAGGCAGGAATAAAAGTGGCTCAATTAGAAACAAGCTTTTTCGGTTAAAGGATCAATCCTGTGGAGCCTTTAAAACAAAACAAATTAGTTTATCTAATACCTTGCCGGAATGTTTGTCAGATCAAATACATAGGTCAAACTAATAGAACAGGGGCAGTCAGGCTAGTCGAGCATAAAAACCTAGATTGGTTGACCCGAAATCTGGAAAATAGTTCAGCCTTACCACCCACCACATGTAATTACACACAATCATACAATAGGATGAGATATGATGACAGGCTGGGGGAAGAGATTGATAGCGGAAGCTTTGTTTATTGAATCAACCGAAGAGAATGCGTGTAATAGGAATGATTCAACACCTGTCCAGCCAGATATCTGGAAAATTCTACTACCCCAACGCCGACAAATAGTAGAGAACAAAGAAAACTATAAAGCTCAAGTGTCAAAGTCCTGTGATTATAACTGATGATATGATTATGAACAATAAATTTTGTTCGAAAGGCGTCGTCATCAAGTAAATAATACTGTTTCACTGTGTGATATATCTAATAAACAATCTGATATGGAAGAAGTGTAGAAGACGAATATTATTTCCTCAATCTTTATGCCTTTTAAATGTTTAAATGGGGAGGGGGGGAGGAACTGTTTGCAATATTTATTCAACTTACGGACTGGATGAAGAATCCGATAGTTTCAACTGATGATGATGATGTCTACTTCTTGGCGGCATATTTTTATAATTTTGTTCTTCCATATCTGATTCACTTGCATTGTCTCAACTACAGGAGGAACGGACGGACGAGGATGTCAAATCGAGAATCGGGAAGGCGACAAACACATTCATCAACCTGAAACCAATCTGGAAATCTTCGTCACTCAGCATCAACAACAAAATTCCGATTTTCAATACAAACGTCAAGTCAGTCAGTTCTTCTGTACGTACGGATCAGAAACTTGGTGGGTCACAAAGAATATTTCCAACAGCCTGTTGCAGACCTTTATCAACAGCTGTCTTCGCTGGCTCTATACTGAAGATCAGATGGCCGGAAAGAACAAGAACCAACAAGAAACTATGGGAACAAAGAAACAAAACAAGAACCAATCACCCAACAAATATGCAGGAGAAAGTGGAGATGGATTGGACACTCGCTGAGGAGGCCGCTGGATGACGTCGCACGTCAGGCCATTGCTCGAGTGGAACTCGAAAGGTAAGCGGCGAGTTGGCCGTCCAAGGGTGACATGGAGGAGATTGTGTGAAGAGGAGTTGAAACAGTATGGACTAACATGGATGCAGGTGAAAAGTACAGCAGAAGACAGAAGCAAGTGGAGGTGTGCAGTTGAAGTCCTATGTTCCACTAGGAACCCAAGGGAACAATAATATAATTATGCCTTATAAATGTTTAAATGGGGAGGGGGGAGGAAGTGTTCGCATTATTTATTTAAAGAGGTATAACTTACGGACTGGATGAAGAATCCGACAGTTTGCAGTGCTGATGATGTCTACTTCTTGGCGGCATATTTTTATAATTTTGTTCTTCCATGTCTGATTCACTTGTATAAGGTGTATCATCATGACGTGAGGATCTAGGAGGTGGTGGCGGAGGCGGTGGTGTCAGCTGATGTCCCTGTGGAATAGAAGTAGCTGGAGAAGACTGTGCCGCAGATGATGATGTTACCAGCTTAGGGTGAGGTGGAGGTGGGGGTGGTGGTGCCGGTGCTCTGGAACTACGATATCGTTTTTGTTTTCTGTTGACTCGTGTTGATGAATTATCTTGAACTACGGGTGCCGCCGACGGTGCTGGTGGCGGTGACGATGATGAATACTGTTCTTTGGATAGTGTTGAAGATGACGAAGTTGATTCGAAAGCAGCAGCAGCAGCAGCAGTATCAGAAAACGCTTGACAGGATGGACAAGTGAAGTTGTCAGTTTCTTTCGTTTTTTGTTGAGCAGAATGTGGAGTTCGCCGTCTAAATTTTAAAAATAAAGTATATTTAGAAACATTGATATAAGAATAAAACTTGGGCACTGTGGTAGAGTGTAATTCCACGATTATGGGTAAATTTTATTTTGATAGAGTCTCACAGTGTTATACAGTAATGTTTACTGATGACCACGTTTCGAGCACAATTTATTGCCACTCATAATCATATCAAGGTAATCACACGACTTCCTAAATTCATTTATATAGTTCCATTGTTTTTCACTTGATTTTCACTGGATTTGATTGGTAGTATTATTTTCCATATTTCAGGTATGAGTGATGATTCATTCCTATTGCATGTGTTGGGTGTAGATTCGATGAACAAAGATTCAGTAATCAACCTCTTTGTCTCTCCACCTACCTAGATTACTTTTTAGAATTTTAACCCTCTCCCACCCTATTGTGTGGTTGTGTGTTAATGCATGCATTGCAACTGCTGAGCTTTTTCCTAAATTACTTATCTTTTCGGGGTCAACCATTCTTACCTTAGCTAAATTCTTATGTTCTGACAATCTGACCACCCCTGACCTACTAGTTTGACCTATGTAGTTGACTTAAATCACAGTCATTGCAGGGTATTTTGTAAATTATATTATTTTGTCTAATTGGGTCCACTGGGTCCTTTAGCCTACAGAGCTTGTCCTACATGAGTGAGTTTGTAGGTTTAAATGCCACCCTAATTCCTGCTTTATTTAGAATCCTACGTAGGGTCTCAGATGTCCCCTCTTTATATGCTATCACTGTAGATGAATTATAGTCCCTCTTGTTTATGTTTATATTTAGAAACAGTCAACTCAATAGTCCTGATTATCATCGAAACAAAAAATACGATGAAAGTATTGTAGTAATGATAATTTTTCAGATCGTGGAAAACACCCATATGGACATTATAAAAGAAGAGAACACGAAGTTCAGTAAAGATGGCGATCTTTTCGGCGATTTCATTTTCAAAAGTAGCTGTACAGTCGCATTTAAATACATAATTTTACATGGAGACAATTCTTGTTTGATTCTACGTAATTACGACGGTGAATAGAAGGTGATAATTATTTCCAACCACAGGACAATTAGAAACTCAAGTCTATAGAAAATCAACTCACACAGACCAAATCCTGAATTACAACAGCAACAATCCAATAGCACACAAGAGGAATTGCATACAAACACTATTCAAGAGGGCCAGCTAGGTCTCATTGCAGCAATCCCACCTCAAGGAAAATTGAAGAAAAATATCTCATGGATGTCTTCCAAAAGAATGCATATCCACGGAATTTCATCAAAAGACATTTACCCCCAAGCCAACCTATCAAACTAAAAGCCCCCAAGGAAAGCACAAAGAAAATCGCCCTACCATATATAAAGGACATCTCAGAAATCACTACAAGACGTCGTACACAAACCAACACAGTCACTCCACTCAATTCTATGTCAACCAAAACACTCAACAACGAAAGAAGATAAAACCAACATCATCTACAAAATAAATTGCATCAACTGCGAAAAAGACTACATTGACCAAAGTGGATGTCCTCTTCGTCTTCGTATCCACGAACATAGGCTAGCTGTCAAAAGACATGATATCCACTCCCTCATATCACTACATACAGACAACCACGGACATCAATTCGACTGGGACAACGTTCAAATATTCGACAGAGGAAGCAACAAGAATGCTAGAGAATTTTTAGGAACCCGCCTGGTATCCCAGTGAATCCTCAATCAATAGACACATCGAGACTGACAAAATTTATCAACCGATAAGAAAGAAACCTCACACACAAAGGGTCAAAGTTCAAATCAAAAAAACAATGAGTTACAATACAAGTAACCTAGAAGGTGTGAAAACACACAAAAACAACCAAAGAGTCACGTCCAAGGTCATCAGGAGAGATGATTAATAAACTCGTGGAGAAATGTAAAAGTTCACTTCAAAATGAAGTATGCGCTAAAGATGTCACCTAGTAGGGTGATGAAAGCTTCGCAAATTAACTATCCAGCTCAGAGAACACAACCACATCAAAATCATCCACCTGAGCTGCAAATCTCTATCATATCAACTAGATATAGTTTTTACGAGAGGCTTAGAAACAAAATTACACAGGATTAGAACGGATATCAAGTGTGTAAAAATGAGCATGGAAACAAAATTGAAATAATAATTTTCAACTTGAGATGGGAATCTATATTCACACCTCCTAACTCCCATCTCAAGTTGAAAATTATTATTTCAATTTTGTTTCCATGCTCATCTTCTATACACCTGTAATTCGTTGTAACCCTGTATAATTTCTAAGGCTCTTGTAATCTAAATTCGCACCTCCTGATTCCCATCTCAAGTTGAAAATTATTATTTCAATTTTGTTTCCATGCTCATTTTTACACAATTGATATCCGTTCGAATCCTGTGTAATTTTGTTTCTAAGCCTCTCGTAAAAACCATATCTAGTTGGAAATAATTATCACCTTCTATTCGCCATCGTAATTATATAAAATCAAACAAGAATTGTCTCCATGTAAAATTATGTATTTAAATGCGATTGTACAGCTACTTTTGAAAATGAAATCGCCGAAAAGATCGCCATCTTTACTGAACTTCGTGTTCTCTTCTTTCTAATAATAATTTAACAAACAACTAGGCTTCAAGGATGACTACAGTGGAGAATAGTCAGTCGCATATTGTCTGGTCATCATTGCTGCGTAAATTCTGTCGACAATAATAATAATTTTGCTTTATTCCAAAACAGTACTTGTGATACAGAATGGAATTCTCAGCATTTTCACTACAGTATCGCATCCAGTTAGTACATTATCAATAAATAGAATTCTACATAGATTAAGGTAATCTCATTTCATTATGACAACAACATATTGGCATGTCGGTAGCAAAGCCAAAATTGAACAGAGCGTTTGAAGTTGTTAGAAAAGTAGGTGCTGTCATACTTACTGGCGTAAGCGGAAGAAAGAAAAGAGAGAGAGAGAAAAGGAAAAGAAAGAAAGAAAACCTTGTACCTATAAATGATATGAGTTGGAAAGACGAGGTCCAGTTGTACTACTGACTATTTAATGAGTTATAGGTGTCACGCCTAATGCTTTCTTTATCGTACAGAACACGAGCTAAGTAGGGTATGGTTGAGTTTTTGTACTTGCTTGCTGGTGCGAGCATATAGTTTTCTATATAGGCTTCTGGTTTTACCTGATGAGATGCAAGGGGAGAGTTGTGAGTGAAGAGGGTGGTGTGAGTCAGATCAAATGGATTTGGCCCATTTTTCACATGATTCCATGTGCCAGTCGACCAGAATATTAACAAGCTGGTTAAGTGGCACGTTGCTTATCCTGCTGACAACCTTTAACATCCTGCGTAATATGTTATAGTCTTTCTTCAGTAGCCCGGGAAACCTAAGGGGGAACAATAGATAATAATAGGCAGAATGCGAGAGTTAACGAACTGTAGGAATAAGGGTTGGGTTATACCAGAATGTCTTCTTGATGTAGAAGGTAAGACGGAATATTTTCTTAGAAATCGTCAAGATATGAGAGGACCAGGAAAGATCAGCAGATAGAATGATGCCTAGGTATTTAATTTCCGACTTGGTTTCTATTTCAGTGCCATCTATGTTGCACACCTCGTATAATACTCATTCCCGGTTATTCGGTGGATGCTGGTAACCAACAACATTGTCATTTCATCTGATTTACAACTTGTTGCCTCAATGCATCTGCAATCCTCAGTGAATGATGGTGTAATCCCATATACACTCCAACTGAGTTCTAACTTCATGACCATCAGGTTAAAAAGTGAACCCACAGACTCAGTCAGATGGCGCATAAGTTCCAACTACCTGAGAGTTATATAGTTTCCAATTAATTGTTTCTTTTGCAGGGATTTTGTTTGATTGGTTGGAGGACCATTGGAAAACTACCAGAGAGTATTGGACAACTGTTTTATCAGCCTAGTTTGGAACTCTTCATCAGAAGGCACCTGTCGCCAGGGTTCAAACCCAGAACCTTTCGGTTGCAAGATGAGCTCGTAGACCATTCATCAGCCACTGGGACCCGATCCAATGGACCATAAATTCTAACTTTTACCAATTCATGACACCGTGCAACCATTCGTGATGTAATCCTCCAATTAATCAAACAAAAATCCCTACAAAAAACCAATACTTGAAAATTGATCTGGTGCTCACTAGCGACCAGCCATATTCAGGCAGTTAACCTGGGGTTCTAGTTGGAAGCCGTGACCAGTAGGATACAGCATGTTGAAGGTGAAGACATTGTGAAGTGGTCCCGCTATGTCGTGCATGAATTGGGAGAAGTTAGTATTCATAGGATGGCCATTTGATCGGATCCCGGTGGCTGATGAATGGTCTACGAGCTCGCTAGTCTTGTAATCAGAAGGTGCTGCGTTCAAATGCCTGGTAGTTGGTGCGCACTGCGAAACAGCTGTCCAGTACTCCCTGATATCAGTTAGAGAACCATTGAAAACCAGGGAGTACTGGACAGCTGCTGTTTCATCCTAGTTTGGGAATCATTGGTAGTACGCACCCTCTGGGATTCGAACCCAGGGCCTTCCGATTACAAAGCAAGCTCGTATACCATTCAGCCACTGGGACCCGATGCTCACTAGTGACTTGCTACAGGATGGAGTTTCCTGGAGTTCTAGTGAGAATTCGTGATTAGTGAGGTCCAATTAGATGTCACGTGTGTGGATAGATTTCCCACCAACGACAATGGTTGGGGTTGCGCTAAATCACGAATTGGTAGAAGTTAGAATTCATGCACTAGCCATTGAATCGGGTCCCAGTGGCTGAATGGTATACGAGCTTGCCTTGTAACCGGAAGGTCCTGTGTTCGAACTCCATGCGGTGAGTGCGTACTGCCGATGATTCTCAAACTAGGATGAAACAGCAGCTGTCCAGTACTCCCTGGTGCTGATTTTCAATGGTTCTCTAACTGATATCAATCCATGATCAACTCGTAAAATAATAAAATGGTTTTATAAAATTATAGAAAGAAAGAAAAAAGCACCTAGTAATAACTTACACAGTAATTGGTGATGAGGACTCAGATGAACTGTGTACAACAACACCGCCACCACCACCACGACCACCACCGTCATTATCATCGTGACCATCGCCTTGTTCTATACGCTTCAACACATAGATTTGTTTGCAGGGACTTTGTTTTGGTGTTGTCTTACTGGAACTGGTTAGCTCAGTATCTTCTTCAGGTACAGTGGATAAGAATGAGGTATCCATGAGAAGAGAATTCCCATTATTATTATTATTGTTATTAATGATATTCAAATCATCCAAAGAAGGATCCAGATTAGATGATAATATACCTGACAGTTGGTAATCATTCAAGGCAGATGATGGAGGTATGTGCGGCGACAGCTGTGGTGTTTGACTTGTAAACGCCAATGGAGTATATGACAGTAGATTGTCGTGACACTGAAATTTGGTTAAATGAAAAAAATGGATAGAGAAATAGAAGGGGGAATTTAATGCGTAAAAGTATATGTCACGTTTTTGGTGGTATAATAATAACGACTGAGAAATGTGTCAGACTTGAGCACTGTGTTACCATGCAATTCAATAGTAATTTAAAGTACTGGTTTGAAGGGATTTGATTGGTTGGTTACAGGGTTTCATCATGAGTTGACAACGGGTTCGAACTCCGGGGATGCGTACTGATGGAGAGTCCCAAACTATGAAGAAAGAGCTGTCCATTACTCCCAGCTGGTTTTCCAATGTTTCTCTAACCAATGTCAGCTCATGATGAAATCCTGTGACCGATCAATCAAATCCCTACAAACCAATACTTGAATATCAATGAAATGCTCACTGGTGACTGGCCCTTTTAGGGTAGGTAGTTACCTGGGTTCTACTGGGAAGTCGGGACCAGTAGGGTGCAGCAGGTCGAGTGTGAGGACAAATACTCACCGAGGACAATGGCTAGGGGTCGCGCTATATCGTGAATTGGAAGAAGGTTAGAATTCATGGTGTGGCCATTGGATCGGGTCCCAGTGGCTAATGAATGGTCTACGAGTTCGCTGGCCTTTTAACCAGAAGGTGCTGGGTTCGAACCCCATGTGGTGGGTGCGTACAGCTTAAGAGTCACAAACTAGGCTGACTGGACAGCTACCCAGTACTCCGTTGCTGGTTTTCCAACGGTTCTCTAACTGATGTCAGCTCATGATGAAATACTGTAACCAGTCAGCATTAATTTTCTCATTAGGTATATCACACACAGTCAGTGAAACAGTATTATTTACTACATTTCGAAGTTTCGAACACAATTTATTAATTGTTAATAATCATATCACCAATTGTAACTACACAGATTCGAAACTTTCGTTTTATAGTTCTCTTTATTCCTTCCTGTTCATCATCGTAAGAATAATAGAATTTTCCAGGTGTTCGAGTGGATAGGTGTTGTATTATTATTATTATTGTATCCTTTAATTCCTACAGGAACATAGGGCTTCAGCCTTGCGTCTCCATTGCGTTCACTTCTCTGCTAGAGTCTTCACCTGGCTCCAAGTCTGCCCACACGTTTTCATCTCCTCTTCACATGACCTTCTCCAAGTCACCCTTGTGATGACGACCAACTCGCCGCTTCCAAAACAGTTGGGTTCCACTCAAGCAATGGCTTGTCCAGTGATGTCACTCACTTGATGGTTTCCTCAGAGTATGGCCAATCCATCTCCATTTCTTCCTACCTATTTGTTTCACAATCGGTTCCTGCTGTGTTGGTTCGCTCATTGCCAGAGATCCCTGTTGCTGATCTTTTCTGGCCGGCCATGTGATCTTGAGTATTGAGCGAAGACAACTGTTAATGAAGGTCTGTAGTTTGTTTGAGATGCTCTTCATGACGCGCCAAGTCTCTCGTCTGCAAAGTAACACTGACTACAGATCGAAGTTGAAACTCAGGATCGTATTTTTCATGCTGAGTGCTATTGACCTTCACACAGACTTGAGAGTAGTGAAAGCTTGTCTTGCTTTTCCGATTCTTGCTTTGATTTCCTCGTCAGTTCCGTTGACCTGTAGTTGAAACGATGCTTCCCAGTTAGGTAAGTAGGTAAAGGAGGTTGTTTCTTTCAGGTTCCTCCCATTTATGCTGATTGTTGTCTGTTGTTGTTGTTTCTGTTGGTGGTGTTGGCCAGGAATCTTCATCACCTCTGTTTTCTCTGTGTTCACCTGAAGTCCTATCTTCTCTGGATGCTTCTTCTGCCAACTTGTTGCTTTTCGATTGCATGTCTTCCAGTTTGTGGGAAATCAGACATATCATCGGCGAATTCAAGATCCTTCAAGTTTTTTGTGCAAGTCCATTTTATGCCTGTTTCCTCATTGCCCGCTGTTTGTCGCATTATCTAGTCTACTGCCCACTGGTGACTGGCACTATTCAGGTAGGTATTTACCTGGGGTTCTAGTGTGTAGTCTTGGCCAGTAGGGTGCAGTAGGTTGGGTGTGAGCACAAATAATCGCCGACGACAATGGCTCGCGGTCGCGCTATATGGTGAATTAGAAGAAGGTTAGAATTTATTGGCGATTGGATCGGGTACCAGTGACTGATGAGTGGTCTACGAGCACACTAACTTTGTAACCAGAAGGTCCTGGGTTCGATCCCCTGTGGTGAGTGCGTATTGATGAAGCAGAGTCCCAAACTAGGACGAAACACCTGGCTGTCCAGTACTCCCTGACAGGTTTTCCAATGGTTCTCTAACTGATGTCAGCTCATAATGAAATCCTGTAACCAATCAATGATAATTTGTTTATTCGATATATCACACAGTAAGTGAACCAGTATTATTTACTACATTTCGAAGTTTCGAACACAATTTATTAGTTGTTCATCATCATATCATCAATTGTAACTACACAAATTCAAAACTTTCGTTTTATAGTTGTCTTTATTCTTTCCTATTCATCGTCGTAGGGGTAATAGAATTTTCCAGATGTTCGAGTGGATAGGTGTTGAATCACTCCTATTACAGGTACTTGCGGTTGATTCGATAAATAAGGATTCAGGTATCTCAATCTGTCCTCCACCTTGTTATATTCGATTTTAGAACTGTCATCTTATCCCATCCTTATTGTATGGTTGCGTGTGTAACTGCATGTAGTGAGTGCTATAGCTGGGCTATTCCCCAGATTTCATATCATCCTATTAGGGTCAACTAATCAAGATTTTCTGGTTACAAGATTTCATCATGAGCTGACATCATTTAGAGAACAATTGGAAAACCTGACAGGGTGTACTGGACACCTGTTTCGTCAGCCTTGTTTGGGACTATTCAGCAGTACGCACCCACAGCAGGGGTTCGAACCCAGCACCTTTTGGTTGCAAGGTGAGCTCGCAGACCATTTAGCCAACGGGACCCAGTCCAATGGTCAGTCCGTGAATTCCAGCTTCTGCCAATTCGGCGACTATTTGTCCTCACAGCCGACCTGCTGCACTCTACTGGTCACGACTTCCCACTAGAACCCCAGGTAACTACCTACCTATCTGAATATAGTGCGTACTGCTGGAGAGTCCCAAACTAGGCCGGCAAAACAGCTGTCCAGTACTCCCTGGCAGGTTTTCCAATGGTTCTCTAACCAATGTCAGCTCATGATGAAATCCTCCAACCAATCAACCAAATCCCTACAAACCAATACTTTAATCTAGATTTTGTTAGGATTTTGTGCCTCACTAGTCTGACTGACTGACTGACTGACCCCATTCTACTACTTTGACCCTATGTATTTGATCTGACAATCATTCCAATAGGGTATTAGATAAACTAAATTGTTTTGTTTGATTGGTTCCACGGGATATTTTAACCGACAAAGCTTGTTTCTAAGTGAGTTTGTGGGTAACTTAAGCTAATTTCATTCCTGCCTGCCTTGCTAATAACTCTAGGTGAGGTTTCCAACGTCCCTTCTTTGTATGGAAGTACTACTGATGATTTAGATTCCTTATTGTCGGTACTCTCATCCTTCTGTGCATGTTACTCATTATTACTATTATTCATTTCAATTTTTACATTTTCCCGCATACTTCCCGATTAACTTGTCAGGGTAATCATTAAATTTCAAAGCTTCTCCCATATGCTTCACTTCCTGTCTTGGATTTTCCTTCGTACTATTTAGTTTTTCTGCCTTACTAGTCACCAATTCTATTTTTACTGCCGTACGGCGGGATCATCAGAAATTCAAATATCGCTTTGCATGCGTAGATTTCCTGTAAATACTGATGTTTAACTTCTCATTTTCTTTCGTTTTTATGCTACAATCTAACATTGGAAGCTCCCCTTCCTGACTTTCCAATTCATAAGTGGTAAATTGAATTGCCTCTACCTTTTCGTTGATATGTTCAAATCGGTAGGTTCGAACCCCGGCGGATGCATAGTGCTGAAGGGTCGCAAAGTAGTAGGACTAAACTCCCTGCTTGATTTCCGGTGGTTCTTCAACTGTCAGGTCGTGAACATCCCTTTAACCAATCAAATCCCTGCAAACCAACACTTGACAATAAATTGATTTGTAAAAATGTCTACATTTTGACCATAAGTATACAGGAAAATGAAATGACTGACTTACACGATCGATATTCATTGATTGAGGGGAGTAGCTTCCAGATGAACAGGACATATTTGGAATGGGGTTCCTGCAGAGTTTTGAACAGAAGAACAGAAGAGACAAAAAAAATGTAAGAAAATATCACGATAGTGAGTAGTAACAATATTTTTGCAATTCTAGCTACTGAAATAGAAATTAAGTAGGTAGTTGTTGTATCAAAAAAAGATATTACTATCACTTGATTATAAAGGTAAATTACTAACGAGTCAACTTTGAGTATAGCTCAAACACGCACATACGCACACACCCTTTGAAGAATCATAATGTAACAGAATAATCGTGTGGAAAATCCATGCCGGGACAATCCACCCACAGTAATGATACTTACTAGGATGTTTCAACTAACTTTATTACTTTCTCGAGTGACATCACGCGACAGGCAGGTACTAAAAAGAAACTGGAATGCGAAACGACGAGTTTGGCGTTTGTCAGAGGGTAACCTGATGGAGTCCTTGTGAGGAGGCACTGAAAGATTATGGACACTCATGGAGCTAGCTGAAAGTGATTGCATGGAATAGGGTGAAATTGAGATGGGTTACTGAAGTTCTATATTCCACTAGGAACCCAAAGGAATAATAATGTTACAAAAAAATGAATGCACCTCTTCAAGGATTGATACAGAACACCTTCTTGTCTAGGTAAAGCAAAGTACTTTATTTCTTCGAGCAGAGCATGGAGTATGATAGAGAAGATTTGTGAATTTGAAATTCACATGAGAGGAGGAGTCCGAGAACAAAATCCCATTTTTGGACGTCATAATCAAGCGATCAACCACGGGGGAATTAGGAACTCAAGTTTATAGAAAATCAACTCACAACGAACAAATACTGAATTACGACATTAGCAGTCCAATAACACACAAAAGGAATTGTATACAAACACTATTCAAGAGGGCCAGGACTCATTACAGCACTCCCACCTTAAGAAAAATTGAAGAAATATATCTCATGGACATCTTCCAAAAGAATGGATATCCACGGAATTTCATCAAAAGACATATACTCACAAGCCAGCCTATCAAATCAAAGACCCCAAAGGAAAGCACAGAGAAAATCGCCTTACCATATATAAAGGAGATCTCAGAAATCACTGTAAGACTCTTCAAACCTTTAGGAATTGACGTCGCACACAAACCAACAAAGTCACTTTATGAAAAAGAGAAGACATTCAGCGAAGAGACTCTTTTCGGCGAATTCATTCACATAGCTGTACAATCGCATTTATATATAATTATTTGTGTGTGTGTGTAAATGAGGTTTGTCAAGTTTAGATAATTAATTAGTTAATACAAGAATGATGTAGTATAGAGACAAAGTTAATCAGACAGCAAATAAAGTAAGATTGAGTTAGTAAGCTAGATGACGTAATATAATTGACTAAAATGTTACAACTTAGGTCAGGATAGCAACAGAGGTAATTACAGGTGGAGATTAAGTAGAAGTGAAATTGAGTGAATAAGTTGGATGACGTAACATGAATGACTAGAAACTGAGCATTGTTCAAGTCAGTAACAGTGGTAGTGGGGTGTAGAGATTGAATCGGGTGGGGGTAGAGAACAAGAAAGTTGAAAATGTAAAATGGTACAATTGAGAAGACAAAATAATACTAATGAAGAGACAGAAGAAAAGATTAGGTAGAATTTACATGTCGGCTAACAAGATAGATTACGTCCATTGTAAGTGTAGTGATTGAACGAACTTCTTCTGTATGCAGAGTTCAGGACTTAGCAAGTGAATCGCCATTGCTTCTGCAGTTTGAAGAAGTCTGATTCGTACACCTTTAGGGAAACTACTTCTTACTCTGTAGACGACTTTGAAGTTTGTTTGCGGTGTAGCTTGGTGTCAGGATTCTATCAGATGTTCTAAGATGGAACTGCGGGGGCATCGATTTTCCCCTTTGTAAGACCATGTTGCTAAGGGTTCGGTGATACGCTAGGAAAGCGAACGCTGGGTACGGCCGACATACCTGGCTCCACACGAGCAGGTGAATTGATAAATGCACATTGATGAGGCCAGCGACTAATAGGTCACTTCTGAGTCAGCAAAAGAAATCTTTCAGAGTGTTATATAAGGTAGAGGCAAGCTTACATCTTCTGTTCCTAGTGAAAGGTCGTACCACATATCCGTAAATCCTGAACTTTGCATACAGAAGCGGTTTGAACAATTCCCTTTTACAACTATGGCCTTAAATGGCCTTTTTTAACATGTCACTTGACAATCTTGTATGTGATCTTTTGTCATTTACTTTCCTAAACTCCTCACTTTACATAATACATCATTCTTGCATTAACTAATCAATTATCTAAACTTGACAAACCTCATGTTCACACACAAACACACAAATATTTATATATAAATGCGATTGTACAGCTATGTGAATGAATTCGCCGAAAAGAGTCTCTTCGCTGAATGTCTTCTATTTTTCATATGACTCAAAGTCACTTTACTCACTTCTATGTCAACCAGAAGACTCAACAGCGAAGGAAGATAAAACCAACATCATCTACAAAATAGATTGTAACAAATGAGAAAAACTCTAAATTGGCCAAAGTGGACATCCTCTTCGTCTTCGTATTCACGAACATAAGCTAGCTGTCAAGAGACATGATATCCACTCCATCATATCACTCACTACATACAGACAACCACGGACATCAGTTCGACTGGGATAACGTTCAAATATTAGACAGAGGAAACAACAAGAATGCTAGAAAATTTTTAGAAGCCTGTCTAGTATTCCAGTGAATCATCAATCAATAGATACATCGAGATAGACAAAATTTACCAATCGATAAGAAGGGAGTCTCACACACATAGGGTCAAAGTTCAAGTCAAAGAAACAATCAGTTCCAATACAAGTAGCCTAGAAAGTGTGAAAACACACAAAAACAACCAATCACGTCTTAGGTCACCGGGAGAGATGATTAATAAACTCGTGGAGAAATCTGAAAGCGGACTTCAAACTGAAGTATGCGCTGAAGTTGTCATCTAGTAGGGTGATGAAAGCTTCGCAAATTAACTGTCCAGCTCAGAGAACACAACCACACCAAGAGCATGGAGTAGCCGTCAAATCTCTGTCTACCTCAACTTCATCCACGTTGAAAAAACCTCCGAAGTAATTTGAAAAATACTTCAACACTATGCAGCGCGGTGCCCCAAATATTTATGAACATCATTCAACAGTTATATGACAACAGTTCCACATGTCTGGTGATCCATAACGGAAAACTCACCGAAGCCATTCAAATGGATACAGGAATAAAACAAAGCTGCCTGATTACTATCATCCACGATGGTATTCCTAACTATGTTGGACTTGAATATGTGGCACATCGTGTATGGCGAGCGAAAAGGAAGGAACACACTGGAGCGACTAATTAGAAGACTCTGGAAGATCTTGATTTCGTGGCGGACAATTTATGTCTAATGTCATACAAACTCTAAGACTTATGGGTGAAAATCAACAAACTGACAGAAGATGCAATAAAGACAGTGCTTCAAGTGAACACAGACTGGAGGGGGGTGACTAAGATAACCAGCCAATCACTGTCATCGAGGGAATTTTGAAAGAGCTGACTTCCTTCACTTTTTAGCATGGATGAGAAAGTCAGAACCAGAATAAGAAAGGCAGGACAGACCTTTATCACTCTGAAATCACTTTCTAACTTCGAAAACCAGTGTTAAAACAGTCAGTCATTGTATATAGGTCTGGAACTTGGCGCTCACAACATGAAAACCGTTTGCAACTGACTACTACAGACTTCCACCAACAGCTGCCTTTGTGGCTGGCTCCATACTGAAGATAAAGTGGCTCGCCAGAAAAAAAGTTAGCAACAAGAAACCCTGGACAGGAACCAATCAATAACCTGTTACTCAAACAAATATTAAGAACAAAGTGGGGGATAGATTGGACAAACATTTTAGAGACCGTTGAATGACATCACGCGCTAGGCCATCACTCGAGTGGAACCCAAATGAAAAATAAACAGTTGGTGGTGGGTTCGTGGTTGACAATGAGGAGGTCGTACAAGTAGGAGATGAGAAACTATGGGCAATCGTAGAGCCGGATAAAGAGAATAGGACAAACTGGAGATGTGCTACTGAAGGAGTATATCTCATTCGGAATTTATTATTATTATTACTGTTACCTTTAGTTCCTAGAGGGACATAGGGCTTCAACCTCACGTCTCCATTGCGTTCGGTTCTCTGCCAACGTTTTCATCTGGCTCCATGTCTGCTCAAGTGCTTCCATCTCCTCTTCACATGACCTCCTCAATGTCACCCTCGCACTGATGACAAACTCACCGCTTCCCGTTCGGGTTCCACTTGAGCAATGACCTGTCGTGTGATTTCATTCACTGGATGGTTTTCTCAGAGTATGGCCAGTCCACCTCCAATTCTTCCTGCATATTTCTTGAACAATTGGTTCCTGATGGGTTTGTTCGCTCCCAGAGAACCTTGTTGTTGATATTTTCTGGCCGGCCATCTGATCTTCGGTAGTATTGAGCGAAGACAGCTGTTGATGAAGGTCTGTAGTTTGTTCGAAGTATCCTTCGTGACGTGGCGTGGCGCCAAGTCTCTGATCCGTATAGCTAGTAGCACTGACTTCACACTGGAGTTGACCACCACACAAACTTGAGAGAAATGAAAGCTCACTCGGAATACGAGGGAAGAACTACATGATAATGAATGCAACCATCTGACTTGGATAAATACCTTTAAGAGTAAAGAAACACCAGCAAAGGCGGACCAGCTGATTAGTCATACATTCAATTCGAGATGCCCAAAAATCTAATTTAACTGACTAACGTCGGCTTGAATCGGCGGATGGTTTCTTCGCCTGAAGACTTCTGAAAACCTTAAAGATGGCTTATAGAAGGCATAACAGCAAGTTGAAACTAAAATGTATGCCTACTGACCTATCCCCCTTAGAGTTGGATATCAACTGTTATTTTACAACTTTATATGCACACAAGAACTAGAACTTACCGATGTATTCTGGCGTCTTGTGAATTATCATGAATGCTGTCAAAACAATGAGCGTCTATGCTGACCTGTTGTCTTCCAGTCCTATCAAGATGTGTAGTTGAACTATTCTCTTCGTAAACGTTATTGTCCATTACCTGTGGAAAAGGATGAGAAAGAAAATATTTAAATTTTTTGAGAATTGATTTTTTTACTAGTGAGAAGTCTTAACTGGCGGTCGGGTCCATCAAGTCATCAGGAAAGAGGACAGCTGCTCGCCTGTGACACTGGCTGGCGGTTGCGTTAAATGACTCTACATCAAAAATTGTCATGAGTTGGAGCTCAGTGGTGAATCATTGGGTCAACTCCCAAAGGGGGTGAATGGTCTACTAGGTTGGGTTGTTACCGGTAGGTCCTGACACTGCACAAACTAGGACGAAACAGCTGTCAGCTACTCCCAGATGGTGTTCCAGTCTTACTCTAACCGATGTCAGTTCGTGATCGGTCCCCTAATTTACTTTCTTTAGTATTATTTTCAGAGAAACTCCATCTCTACGGTCGGATCTTGGAAAGCGCTCATGAACACACACTATTTTCATACGATTTGCTATCGATTTTAAAGTATTGATTCTCAAGTGTGTCAGTGATTTGAATTTTGACCATGAATTAACTTGATTTGGAGAACTAGCAGGAAGTCCTGGACATAGCAGTTTCGTCCGTGTTTTGGACTCTTCATCAGCACATTTCTGTTGTAGCACACATGTTTGTGATTTGTTGATTACTGTCAAATCTTGCCTGGAGTGCATCTTCAGACAACAGATCACTTGGAAAATATTCCAAACATCGAGATAGACATAGAAGTCCAATTTAACTGCAACAATTACGACAAAAACTCTGTCAGCAAGAATCACACACTGAACAGTCCCCGCAGATAGTCCAAACGCAGTTAGTCTTTCTTTATATGAACGGAAAGCTTTCTGTAAAATCTTGATCCTATCAAAGTCGATCATGTGTCCCATTTCTATCGAGTGTAGTGCAATCGGTGAATTATTTTCTAGCTTCCTCAAATCAGTAGAGTTTTGGGAACCATATTTAGGCAACTGTCATGATCCTTCACTCTTATACTTACCTATTTGAACGTTTCTCCTACACATACAGTAGCATCACAATCCCCACAATTGATCTGGTACACGCAGTTTTGTTTGCTTATCTTCTTCTATATTAACCTTAACCTTTACTATCGACGAGCTTAAGATGAAGGCAGTTTCACACACAAAGGGTCAAACTTCAGGTCGAGGAAACAATGAACACCAATACCAAAACAAGCAGCAGCCTAGCGGGTATGAAAACACACAAAGACAACCAATCACGTTCAAGGTGACCCAACAGGAGAGATGACTAATAAACTCGTGGAGAAATCGAAAAGCTCACTTCAATGAATCGAAGTTTGCGCAGAAGGAAGATGTTGTCTAGTGGGGGGGCAATGAAAGCTTCGCAAATAAACACAACTACATTAAAATATAGACCAATGTATATTTCTTAATCATATACTGATAATATCCTAAGAAGTGGGTTTCATTTTCCGCCTCATATCTTTTTGATTAATTGGGGGATTTCATCATGAGCTGACATCAGTTAGAGAACCATTGGAAAACCTGTCAGGGAGTACTGGACAGCTGCCTCGTCAGCCTAGTTTGTCACCCTTCAGTAGTACGCGTCCACCACAGGGGATCGAACCCGGACCTTCTGGTTACAAGGCCAGCGAGCTCGTAGACCATTCATCAGTCACTAGGAACCGTTCCAATGGCCATCCGATGAATTCTGACTTCTGCGACCACTTCACAATGTCCTCTTTGATCAGTTACTATCTCACTTTCAACCTTCTGTACCCTCCTAGTCACAGCTTCCAACTAGAACCCCAGGTAACTGCCTACCTGAATAGGGCCATTCGCTAGTGAGCATCTCTTTGATTTTCAAGTATTGGTTTGAGGATTTCATTATAAAGTGACATGGGTTAGACAAAACTATTGGAAAACTAGCTGGGAGTATTGGACAGCCAGCCGTTTCGTCCTAGTTTGTGACTCTTCATGAGTATGCACCTGCCAGTAGGGATTCGAACCCAGGACCTTCTGGTTACAAGGCTAGCGAGCTTGTAGACCATTAAGCCATTAAGTCATATCTTCTTACCTCTCTAGTTTAGTTCATACAACACCAGAAAAAACAGTTTTTACTTCCCTTTGAAAGGAAAAACTCGGAAAATTTATACCAAGAAGAAGAATGGAGAGGGAGAGAAAGAGGAAACTTTAATGATTATTATTATTATTCTATTCTTCCCATTTTACTCTTCTACAACAACACCTCTGCCTACTACTTCCCATTTTTTTGTGTTTTGTGTATTTCCCACATCATCGCTTTTACAAAACTCAATGACCTGATAAGGTAACTGGGTCGTCATATATAAGACTCAACTTTCTATATATATATATGAGTAGTCGGAATGATCCAACTATCGTTTATTTATTTTCTAGTAAAAAGGATAAGTCGAAGCGAATAAGCGAAATAAGTTGGCAGGATTATTTACTTATACAGGTAAGGCGAAATGAGGTAGGTTGGTAGGTAGGTAGATGGGTAGGTGGGAGGATGGTGGTTGGAAGTAGATAGATAGGTCATGATAGACAAATTGATTCGATAGAAAAATTGGTATTATGTGAATAAGAAATTCAATATAGTAATAATAATAATAATAGTAATACTAAAATAGTGAATTGATATGAATAAAGGAGGATAAGTGATGAACTCGCATCTTCTTTCTTTCTTTCTTTTTTCATTTCATTTCATTTCATCTTTTCTTCTCATGCATCCCAAAATTGATTAATGTATTTTCAAGTTTAACTAAATTTTTAGTTTAGTCAGTATGGAGATGAATTTAATTTGAGAATGAGTATATTGTTATTATTATTATTGTTTCCTTTAATTCCTAGAGGAACATAGGGCTTCAGCCGTGCGTCTCCATTGCATTCGGTTCTCTGCTAGAGTCTTCACCTGGCTCCAAGTCTGCCCACATGCTTTCATCTCCTCTTCACATGACCTCCTCCAAGTCACCCTTGCACTGACGACCAACTCGCCGCTTCCCATTCGACCAGGTTCCACTCGAGCAATGGCTTGTCTAGTGATGTCACTCACTTGATGGTTTGTTTTCTCAGAGTATGGCAAAATCAGTTCCTGGTTGGTTCGCTCCCGGAGATCTCTGTTGCTGATCTTTTCTGGCCGGCCATCTGATCTTGAGTATTGAGCGAAGACAACTGTTAATGAAGGTCTGTAGTTTGTTTGAGATGCTGTTTATGACGCGCAGTGCAAGTCTCTGATCCATATAGTAGCACTGACTGACTTCACATTGGAGTTGAAAATCCGGATGTTATTTTTGATGCTGAGTGCTGTTGACCTCCACACAGACTTGAGAGTAGTGAAAGCTTGTCTTGCTTTTCCAATTCTTGCTTTGATATCCTCGTCAGTTCCGTTGGCCTGTAGTTGAAACGATGCTTCCCAGGTAGGTAAAAGAGGTTGTTTCTTTCAGGTTCCTACCACTTATGATTGTTGTTGTCTGTTGTTGTTGCTGTAGGTGGTGTTGCCCAGGAATCTTCATCCATACCTCTGTTTTATCTATGTTCACCTGAAGTCCTATCTTCTCTGGATGCTTCTTCTGCCAACTTGTTGCTTTTCGCTTGCATATCTTCTAGTGTGTGGGAAATCAGACATATATGATCGGCGTCCAGATCCTCCAAGTTTTCTGTGTGAGTCCATTTTATGCCTGTTTCCTCATTGCCCGCTGTTTGTCGCATTATCCAATCTACTGCAATCAGGAAAATCATTGGCGATAGTAGGCAGCCAGCTTGTCTTACTCCTGTCCTCACTTCGAAGGATTCCGTAAGTTTCCCGTTGTGGATTACTTGGCATGCAGCAGCATTGTCGTACAGCTGTTGGATGAGATGTATAATTGTCGGTGGCACCGCGTAGTAGCGAAGTAGTTTCCAAATCACCTCTCGAGCGACGCTGTCGAAGGCCTTTTCAAAGTTGATGAAGTTGAGATAGAGAAGTGACTTCCATTCCAAGTTTTGTTCAATGATGATCCGTAATGTGGCGATTTGATCAATGCATGACTTGTTTCTCCTGAATCCAGCCTATTCCGGTCGATGTTTTTCATCCAGATTGGCGTGTTCAATTCTCTCCAGGATGATTCGGCTTAGTATTTTGCTTGGGATGGACAGGAGCATTGACTTAAGTCTCCTTTCTTTGGTAGTTTGAATACATTGAGTACATTCGTAGTATTGTTCCCTTGGATTTCCATTTGATTGTCCATAGTCTCTGAATTTCCCCCCACTGCTTTACATGATCTCCTCCATGTCACCTTTGAACCCAAGCCTTACTCGTCGTTTCCCCTATGAAATGAACTCGAGCGATGGGATGGTGGGTGATGTGTCATCCTGTGGTCTCCTCAGAATGTATCCCATCCATCTCCATTTCTTTGAGATAGTTGTTGATGGAGGTCTACAGTAGCTTGATAGAAATGCATTTCATGACGTGCGTATCAAGTTCCTGACCCATGCGGACTTATTACGCTGTAGAGTTCAGAAGATTTCCAAACTGATTTCAGAGTGATGAAGGTATCTATTCATGAAAAATTCCCATTCGAACATTAATAGACAGAAGACAAGTAGTTCAGCGAAGAGTCTCTTCTCGACGACGAATTCATTTTCATACCTGTACAATCGCAAATATACACATATGGTTGTTTTGTATATGTGTGTGTGGACATTAAATTTGTCAAACGAAAATACAATTAGTAAGTTCAGATGAATTGGATGCTGATATAAGAGGGCAGGTAGTAACAAAAGTGATGAGTTGTCACAAATGATTGTTAAAGAGGAGTTATTTAGTAACGTGAATAGTTTGATGAAAGAGTTGTGCTCAGGGTGTACATGGAAACAAAATAACACACGGAATTACACAAGGGTTTTAAGTAGTTAGAAAAACAAGCATACAAACAAAAGTTAAGTCAAATCAACACAGTTGTTACCATGAGAGTAGAAGTGGCTGAATAATTTTCTTCTGTATGCATAGTTCTGGTTGTTCTAACTGAATGGCTAGGGGTTCTGCGATG